GCACGCCTCTTTCCCGCAGCATACAGCGGTGTTGTGCATTTTGACCAGTTGATGGGAAAAGTATTCTTAAAATGCATTCAAAATTCTGAATAATTTGTAATATATAATTATTCACGGTATTTAGAAGTGCCCACGATAACAATATCGTGCATATTCATTACCGTGATATATCGCATTACCGAATACCGGCACAAGTCTAAATGATACCATAATGTGTACCATGCTGATTTGTACAGAGGCTCCGTAGATTTGCACTTAACAAGCCTAAACAGACAACAAATGAGAGAGAGATCAACTGAGCATGTGCGATTACTTGCGAGTCATATATATTTGGGAAAATAGGTTGTCATGTCCAAGGAAATCCAAATATCTGTCTTAGCATCGACGCATTGGTCAGCTGAGCCTTCTAACGTGGTGCTCAAAGTTAAAATGATTTCAACAGCGTTTTTCATTATGTCTCTCTTTGAATGAAGCAGCGTTTTTGAACGTGTAGTTGAATGAACTGTTTAAAGACTCACTCAAAGACAGTCCCTTGCCGCCACCTTGTGGTGCAGCAATCTAACTGCACTGACTGACAGCTCGTCTAGAACGCGTGCAGGTGGAAATATCAATAGAAAGTCTTTTGTGCAGTCAGATTCGAGGATCAGAACGAACTGTTATACATGTTCCTGTTTCAATGCTATTTGGTTTCGGTTTCATTGGTTTCTGAATATGACCTCGTTAAATCGTAACACATACACACACAGATTATATATATAATAATAATAATATAATATATAATTAAGGAATTATATTTACTTAAATATTCAATAAGCCTATGTTATTGCGAATATTAATGTACTTGTTCATTGTGTCAGTGTTTTATTCGCAAGAACAACATAGTGACGAAATGCGCTCTGTAGAGCAGTGTGTCCGTTTAGGGCTACTGTAGAAAAATGGTGGCGACTTCCATGTAAGGGGACCCGCGGTGTATGTAGATAGAAATTGCTCATTCTAAGGTAATAAAAACATAATGGTTCCTTAAGTAAGGTCTTTGTACACCTCTAAAAACATAGTTATGTTTATTATATTTCTGTCAATAGATCGTTGTAAATATTACACATTGCACCATTAATTTATTTGATTCCTCAGTGTTTGCTAAACATTCTGTAATTTATTAGTCGGTATATAATAGAGCATGTGGTGTGTGCCGTGCCTCATCTTATTCGTTTTTTTTAATAAACGTTATGTAAGATAGTTTGTCATTGTAGCCTAATGTTTTATTATTGTTGTGCTTTTTAATTAAGAATAACAATGGATCCATCTTTTGTTTTAGTCTTAAAAAGTGAAAGGTGTATAGATATAAGCAAAACATACAATTATCTTTTCTTGTAAAATGTGACACCAAGATCACGAATTCGAAAGTGAAAGTAAAAGCGCATGAAGCCTGCTTATAACACAGCAAAAGAGGAATTCCCGTTCACAAAATTAAATTCACAAATAAGAACGGGTTGAATGCTGAACACTTTCGTTACCATATAACTAAACTATGATAAAAGTTCATCAGCATGCATTGATTAATCATATGTTTAATAAAATTGCGACCAAATTATGTGCTCGTGCGACCAACTGAGAAAGTTAGTCGCAAAAGAGCGACCAGTGGGAAGAATGAGTCTGGAGCCCTGTGATATGTGTGTACTTTTACTTTAGGCCTTAAACTGAAAATGGTTGTGAATAGCTGTGATGTGAAGTGCAGCTCTTGAATTAGTCTGTGTTTTCATTCAGAGGCCATATCATTGTTCACTGCTGGCTTCATAATGCTTACTCTCTCTCTGGTGGTATCAGTTGTTCTGGTGGGCGTTTTCTCCTCACGTTACTGTTGCATTCTCATGTGAGGCATGCAGTGATTTGGAGTGTGTGTATTATTTGCCTCTTAGAGCGAGCGGACTGTGTTTCTGCAGAGTGTTTTGCCTAACACACGAACTGCTCGTCAGAGAAGAAAGAAAATGATAAATGTGTGGTTTCTCAGTCAGAGCGTTCTCTGCAAGTTTCTTGTGAGTTACGGCTGTTTGATTTGGGAGCGTTTGCTGAAGGATCTTCTGTTTGTTGTTGATTGCACTCCAGTGACCTGCTGTAGTTCGCTCGCATATGGCTGTAAAAGGGCAGACTCAGAGAGAGAGAACTGCCATCTGGTAGTCCTTAAAACCTCTGGAATGCTTTTGCTGTAGTAACACAACTAAACAAGCCATTCCTGCCAAGCCGTGAAGCCCCTCCCCAACACACTTGCACTCCGTCACACTCGTTTCCTCCAGGACTGTGGAAAATCCAGGGAGTGCGAGTCGTCCTGCCATAATGCTTAAAGTAGTGGAGAATCAAACTGCAAGAATTTCAATAAAAAGTTATTTAATGCTGAAACTGTCAACGCCAGTTACTGGCAATGGTTTTTTGAATGTTTCACTCTGGATGCAAAATCTCTATTAGAATTTCATCATGTACTTATTGGAGTCGTCTTCTCAAGGGTTCTTTAGATCGCTGGTCTGCTTTAGACATCTTTAGACACTGTTTAGACACTGCACTGTGGAAAATGCAGATGAAATCCAGTCACAACAATGGAATTTACAGTATAACACGCTATGTTATGGAATTCAGCAAATGTTGAATAAATAAATCAAAAGTAGGGCTGATCTTATCATGATATGGTCTAGTGCCTAATATGAATATTAAACTGCAAAAGGACTGATATTGAAAAATGAAGGCTGCATGTCTATAGTAATAATAATGCATTTTTTTTTTTAACTTAATTTTTTTTTTCTTTACAACGGAAAACCAGTTGTACAGAACTTTGTCTAAAAATAAAAGAAAGTTAAATTTTGAATTATTACATTTTAAAAGATTAATGTTTTATGCCTTCATTTGATTAGCACTGTAATAATAATAATAATAATAATTGAATGGAATCCTGAATTGGAAAATAAAATTTAATTGCATAAGCTTCACGATTTTAATTAATTAGACATGCTTTTTGATTACTTAAATTTAATCGAACCATTAAAATGTTCATTAAATAAAAATAAAACATTTTATTTGTTGGATAGACTTTTTCACCTTGTGCAGAATTTGAGGTCATGTTGGAAAGTGTAATTTTATCTATAATTGAGTTTAAGAAAATTTCAGTAGTGCTTGCACATGCAGAACATGTGTATAATTTTGTAATTAATATTATGCAAATAATTAATATAATTCTATGTGGAACAAGTCCTCTAGCAGCGAAGCATGAGATCTATAAAAACCTCAGACTCCCTGATATGATGGGAGTCTAAAGAATGAACATGTGCTCAGCCCTGTAAGCATGACATCATGGCCACTATAGGGGGAATTATTGCTGGATAAATCAGATGATTAAGCCAACTTGTTATAAAAATGTACATTAGATATACATGAGTTGTAATGTGCCTGTTTTCATCTAGACTTATTGAAGCTTGCATATGTCTGTTTCTAAGTCTCCACTGCATGTCTTTTTGCTGTTGAAATGACCCTCAGAGTCTGAGACATCTTGTGTCTTGAGGGTGATGGTCCGACCTTTTAATTAGAACGAGTCCCTCTTCCACAGACATCCGGCATCCTGAGGAGCTCTCCTTACTGCGCAAGCCCCGCGACCCCAAGAAGAAGAAGAAAAAGCTGGAGGAGGCGGAGGAGGAGGCGCTGGAGCTGGAAGGACCATTGCTCACTCCTGGGTCAGGTACGTCTCAGATCACCGTCACCATTCCTCTGAGAATGTCAATGCACTGATCTCTCTATCATTAACTTCTCAAAATATCTATAAGGTCCATTTTAGGAAATAGTAGGTTTTTTTTCCCCAATACCTAGAGAGCTGCCTACACGAGTCAGCATTATAACCATCATGGAACATAAGTCATTGGTTTTCAGTCCTAGTCCTGAGCTTCAGCCACACTGCACATTTTCTGTGTCTCCCTTATTTAACACACCAGACTCAGATCATCAACTCGTTTGGATAGAGCTAAACTAAGTTTCTGTCTCTGAAAGCTGAAAAATGCTGCCTCTGCAGACAGGATACAGAGGTAGGAAGGCAACAAGGCGTTTCTGAATCCAGTGCTCATCTCACATCCAGTCTATTGAGATAGCTTCATATGATTAGTTTTTGAAAGCAGGATATGATGTATTCTTCACTGCCTGTGATATCCCACAATCCTGTGCATGCAGTCCTGTTAAAGTTGAGCTAAAATATAAAATGGCATCCGTCCGGTTGGTGGTCAGTTTTTTTTTTAACCAACTTTTTCACTTTTGATGTAATTTCTCCTAATAAATTAGAATTATAGTAATTAAATAATTGGTTATCTCAAAAGCTTGCTCTGTTTTGTTGTAGATCGTTGGACCGTTATTCTGCCTCAAAAGGTGTGGCAACAAGTCAGCTGCATAAACTGAATAAATAATAAAAGAGATGTAGCGATCTATTAAATCAATGTTATTTTTCCCCTCAAATTCCTTATTTTAGTAATTAAAAAGCTTGTCTAATTAACTGGAATCATGAAGCTTGTATAATGTAACAGCAATTTATTAACATTGTAACAAAAGCTAAATTTTAGGGCCCTATGAATTCCATTTTATTTCTCTGTTTTAATGCTTTAATTACGTTTTAATAATCAAAAAGCATGTCTAATCAATTGAACTCATAAAATATAATTCTTACAATAAAAGTGCCCTTTTTGTCATGTTTTATGCCTTATTTTGATTATCACCATTATGTATTAAATCAGAAATCCAGAAAAAAATTAAACTAGCTAACAGAATTTCAGGGGGGAAAAAAAATTGTGATAAATTCTTTGATTCAGTCCTTATTTTCTACATCGCTGCATCATAGGGCACTAAAGATATGCTAATGTGAAATGTCCAGTGCTCTGGGTCCCCTAGACAGGATTGAAAACCAGTTATAAATGCCCAAGCAACTCAACCCAGTTGATTTTAATAGAGTTTGACATAGCATTATGGTACTTCTCTCTGCAACAAACTTGAGGCATGGTTCATATCCGTCACAAATCATGCAGGTGGGGTGGGTTACACACTGAGGTGCTTGGGATTTGAGGTTAGGTTGAATCTTAAACCCAAGTATGAGCAATAGATACTCTGATTGTCGTGCCACATCGCATTGCTTGTTTGCGTCGTACACAGTGTTTGATGGTGTGGAACCCATGAAGCTCCAAAATGATGCGCGTGTGGTTGAAGAGCAGGAAAACAAAAGGCTTGTTCTGTTGAAACAGTGCTGAAATGAGAAATGCGTGGGTTGAGAGCAGCGTATCATTTGCAGGCGTGCTGCTCTCGCTCTAACTTCGGAGCGTGAATGGTTCAGATTCCGCACATATTTGGTCACGCTGCCATTTTGAAACAGAGCAGCTACATCGCCGAGCGCCCCACACATGATGCGCTACAATCCATTAACGATGCACAGAGGACAGACTCCATCTCCTCAGGTCGACATGAATAGGGTCTATTGTCCCAGACGCATCCCCCATGCAAACTCAACACGCAGGCCAAAACGCTTGTGTCTGGGATCTGTTCTCCACTTGTTCCTTCATTACTACCATTTAACCTCATGATGACCCTCATTAAAATAGTGCAGGACTCCCGATGTTTAGGGTCCATGAAGACGCTGGTTTTTACCGCACAAAGGGTCCTTTAGGAAGGAGAAAATGGAACGGGAGCCGCCATGAGCCATTTTGGCCCACAACGGGAAATGAGCCGAAGACCCGCCTCTTGATCTCTTCTCAGAGGGATTTCAGTACGAGTCGCTGTGATAGGGATCGCTCTGATAACGGTGTGAGCAGGACATGAGCTCCACCCATTAGTATTGTTGTTCCTTTCCCTTCCTCTACGGATCTTCAAACAACACCATCTTCTCTGGAAGTAGAGCTCTGTCCTCCCCTGGTCTGTGTCTGGACTTTCATACGCACATTTAGCAGATGTTTTTATTCAAAGCAGCTTACAGAAGAGGAGCAAAAGCAATTTGTCAAAGAGACTTCAATATTTAGAATATATAAAATCCTTGTTTATTAGACAACTACACTTGAAAGTAAGCTAGAGAAGAGCAGAAACACAGATTGATTGATTTACTTATGTGAGATAAGCTAAAAGTACAAATGTTCTTTAGGTGGACTAAAAATGTTACGATCAACTATTAATCTAATATAATATGTAAAATAACTAGTTTTAAAATTCTGTTACTCTCCAGCAATTAAAATACAGTGATGTTGAGTCAACAGATTTTGATCTGTTGAGTTGATATTAAATTGATAACTTGAGGTTTAATTACAAAAATGTGGTATATTGTTTGTGTCTCAAATTTTTAATAGAAAATAAAGTTGCTCTTAGAATGCCTACTTTGACTTTAAGTTGGGTGAACAATATTTTCCAATACTTTCTATAGGTAAAAAAAAAAGCCTTATTTGTTGAAAGTAGAGCTGTCCTCGACTAAGAATTTTTCTGGTCGACTAGTAATCGTTCATTTTAAGCATTAGTCGACTAATCGCATGTTTATTAATAAACCATTTAAATCATTATTATGAGCCTTTAATTGCCTTCATAGCCTAATGAGCGCTCAAGCACACATAAAGCTTGCCACAGCGCACCGCAGAAGTAATGATTATGAATGTTTCAGGGAAAAACAGTACGGAGGCTGCATTAACATTTTAATAATTTGATAAACTAGTGCTTTCTTTGTTTTCGGTTTAAGAGATGAAGTCGGCGACATTGACACTGACTCGTCATCTCCGCAGTACTGCTGCGCCTGTATGAATGTTTCATACGGATTACATAATCTGAGAATATTTGTTTTCCATTTGAATTGGTTCATTTGAAAGTAGACATTTTACTCTTTATAGATATATTTTTAATGTCTGTAAGGCAAAGATTATACACAGAGTTTCACGCTCAAGTTCACAGAGACCGAGACGGCAGAAAGTGCATCCTGTTTGCTTTCATTATTTCACAAAAGCGCGATTTTGTTTTTATTGTGAGTGCATACAAATAAACATAGTCTTTACAGATTTTAATGATGTATTACTCTTATCTGTATGAGCAAAAATTACCAGTATTTTAGGAGCAAGTGACGCACCAGCGCCTCCATCTGTCCTGCAGTAAGCGCGCTTATAAACTCCACACACGCACTTGAATAGCGGCCATGTAAAGTTGGTAATACTTACATATTTCAGATGATAAGCCATATTTGAGGTCGCTGAATGATAGGCGAGCATTTGTACTTTATTACCATAGACTAACCGTTAATGATCTGTTAGTCACAGACTGCATGACTTCGCCTGTGGATTTTTATTTTTTTTTCTACGACTAAGCAACTAATAAAAGTTTGGTCGACCAAGCCCCTTCTGGTCTACTAACGATTAGTCGACTAGTAGGGGGCAGCCCTAGTGAAAAGTGAATGAGTTTAATGAAAAGGCAAAATGTGACTCTGTGAATGACATTTATTAAGGATGTGTATGAACATCTTGGGTCTGTCTGCCTGAACCTTTTATTTATTTATTTGAGATATTAGTTCTTTTCTTTTTGAAACTTTGGTTACTTATGATGTCTTGTCTCATTTTGCATGGTAACGCTTTCCTTTTCCTCCAAGCTGTTAATCTCTTTAATCTATCCTTTCATTCCCCCTCTTTCTCTCTTTGTTTTTTATTTTCTACATTTCCTCCCATTCCTCAAGACTCTGAGATACTATACATTGGACCAGTAAAAGGTAAGGCTCATAGTTGTTCTGGCTTCCTGCATTGCTTCCTTCACATCCTCTCACCGCAGCTGGAGCAGTCACCTGACCACTGCTGACTCCGAGAAATCCCTGGCTCTGGTCACCTGACTCTCTGCTTCAGTGACACCTCAGCTGGTCACGAGATGAGCTTTGCCCAAACACTGCATTCCCTTACATTCCCTTATCGGTTCTTAGTTTTGCTGGTTGAATTGTCTTGCTTTGTCCTAAAATCTAAATAAAATTAGGGATAAAAGATTGAAAGGTCAGGTCAAGGAGCTACCCAGCAAATACTGCTTGGGATTATTTTATTTTTTTAACCCAGCCAATACTGACATTGATTATTCAAGCTTTTATCTGAAGCTCATCATAACTGGTTATAAAAACAAGCAGGCATATTAGCACATGCATGTGCACATGATGGACAGCATGTGTGTGCACTGAACAGTTGTAAGTTTACGAAGGTTCAAGGTTCTGTATGGAATACATATGTGACGTACAAAGAACCTTGAACTTTTAATGCAGTTTGATCAAGAGCATCCCTACTACATGCTGCAAAAGTCTTATTTTATTGCTGCATTTGGAAGGAAGGAAATGCCAGTTCTTGCAAGGCAGCAAAACAATAGTGGTCAAAATGAAGTCAAATGATAGAGAAGTTGTGAAGCCAAATTTTCCCAATTCAAGCTCTCTGACTTTTCCAGTCAGCAAGGATTTAGGGTTGGATTGTAACTAGTGTTTTCAGCCCAGAACTGCCGTTTCTATGGTGGAATGAGAGTGAAGGGTGGGCATCAGCCCAGGAACCACCAGAGGAACCATGTTGGTGGAAAAAAAGAGGCATTAAAGGGTTAGTTCACCCAAAAATGAAAATTAGCCTATGTTTTACTCACCCTCAAAGCATCCTAGGTGTATGTGACTTCCAATCGGAGTTATATTAAAAATTGTCCTGGTCCCTCCAAGCCTTTCAATGTGGGTAAGCGGGTGTTGGTTGTCAACAGTTCAGAAGACGTGAAATAAAGTGCGTGCATCTGTAATAAAACGTCCCTCACACGGTTCCGGGAGGTGAATAAAGGCCCCCTGTAGCGAATCCATGCATTTTTGTAAGATAAATATCCATATTTCAAATGTAATAAACACTTTTCTCTCACTTCCGCTGACTGTGGTACGTGGATGACGTGCAGGCGGAAGACGTAGGCGTCGTGCATCTCTGAGAAATGCAGGTTCAAAGGAAACAAAGTTTCCTTAATTTAGCAAAGGAAAACCAGTCTCTTCTTGGCTTATATCGAAATCCTCTGACATTTTTCTTTACAAATCCTCGTTTTCTGCTTCTAATTCATGACTGGCGTTTTGTTTTGTTCTCTCTCCACGCTCGTCACTAATCACGCAACGCCTACATCTTACGTCATCTGCCGGAACGGCTTCCGTGTACGACAGTCAGCGGAAGTGAGAAAAAAAGTGTTTATTACATTTGAAATATGGATATTTATCTTACAAAAATGCATGGATTCGCTACAGGAGGCCTTTATTCACCCCCCAGAGCCGTGTGAGGGACGTTTTATTACGGATGCATGGAGTTTATGTCACGTCTTCTAAACTGTTGACAACCAACACCCGCATTGAAAGGCTTGGAGGGACCAGGACGATTTTTAATATAACTCCGATTGGATTCGTCTGAAAGAAGAAAGTCACATACACCTAGGATGCTTTGAGGGTGAGTAAAACAGGCTAATTTTCATTTTTGGGTGAACTAACCCTTTAATGCTTTGCTGAATCGTTCAGAGCATTTACTGAATCAACATCTGACTCACTCTCGAAATGAAGCCAGGTTTAAGAAGCAACAATCACAGTTTCGGTACAACAGACTTTAAATGGATAGTTTCTGTTCCTCCACTGAAAGTCCATTCCACCAATACACTGATGCTTCAAAAAATGAATGACAAAAAAATAAATACACTGTAAAGGTAATCCATGTAAATCAAATAGTTTAATCCAAGTCTTCTGAGGACATAACGATTGCTCTGCTTGATGAACAGATTTAATGAGCGCACATATGCTTGGTTTGGCATACGAGAACAACCCTCATTGGTTCTTGCGGAAGTTCATATGTGCTTGCATGACTCATGAGAATGAACCTCATTAGTTTCCTCACATTCACAAGCACTGTGAGCTTCTGTTTACCACATAGACCTTAGTGTAGCATCATATTTAAATTCTGACATTAATGAAAGAGGGATAGACGTACAGTGTCCATTAGATTACTCAGTTGTTTTTAAGAACATACCAAATGTTCAGCTGAAGAAACATCACTGCAAAAAACTTTCAGTGGACCTAGAAACTCTTTTAGCCCATAAAACAATTATAAACCTTTATACGACGCATGCCATACTGTAAGTCTCACAGTCTCGTTTTCAGTCAAATTCATTATGGTGAATTATACCCTGATTTGTCTGATTTGATGTGCTCTAAGTATGTGCATTGATCAATGTTTATATATGAATGCAAGCCTAAATTAGATCTGTTTATCATATTAAGCCATCGTGTCTCTTCAGAAGACTTGGATTAAAGCACTCTCTTCATATGGATTTCTTTTAGATCAAAGCTTTGGTTGCATGGACTTTTAATGGAGGGACAGAAGTCTCTCAGATTTCATCTTAATTTCTGTTTCAAAGATTTGGAACGACAAAGTTGAGGAAATTATGATTTTTGAGTAAACTAACTTTTTAATATTAAAAGCTATTAAAATTCATAAAAATAGCAATGTTAGAACTGAAATTATCTACAAAAAGTCTGAATAGAGTCTGCAAGTTTGGGCCAAAATAATTACAGAAAATGATGAATTAAAATAAGAGGCCTTGCAGCACTGTTATTATCGAATTGATTAGTAAAACAGTTTGACATTTGGCATATGAGCGCGTGAACACTCCTTCACGCTCGCTGTTCATTGTTTTATACGTGCCTTCAAGCATGAGTCTGAGCTGAAGCGTCAGTGTGATGTGTGTTTGTGGATCAGGATTCATTTGAACATTCCCAAACAGTGCGTAGAGTCGAGTAAACATCCAAACGCAGGCCTCCTCAGTTCCCTGATGGGAGTGGAAACCCCTCTGAGTTTCTGAGAAGGGCTGCGAGCCTCCCTCATGCCTCTTCCAGCCCTCTGTCTTTTCTCATGACCTCTGCCACCCCTCAAGCACTTCCTGTCCCTCTACATGACTGTGGCCTCTCACTGCCACATACGTGCTTTTGCTTCTGTGTTTTACTCACTCTGTGATTGGTCGCTTGACTGGTTAGAGAAGAATGTGTAGTGTGACTGTGTGATGTGTCGGATTTATGACAGTAGATAAACAAGTTTATTCAGTTGACAGATGATAGTGTCTTCACATAAAATTGCATCTTTGTACCGCTAGCAGAAGTTTATTTTTGCATTGCATTATTGCTCACACAGCCTGATTTTGGTGGTAATGTCTAAGACATTTTGTGTGGGCTGCCAGTGCTTTAAAAGGATTCATTTGAATATATCTTATATATTGAATTTGCGTAATTAATTTTTCTTTTCAAATTTTTCTGTTTTTTTTTCTAAATTCAATGCAGTATTTAAAAAAAAGATGTTTTATTGATGCTGATGGCTTATATGATAATGTTTTCACTCAAAAAATTTTAATAAGTTTCACAATTAATTACAAAGAAAATAAGACATTGTGTGACGTAAACATGAAAGTAGGAAAGCTAAAATAGTATTTTCTTGTAAAACATACTCCAATAATCTTTGTATTATTTATAACTAACAAAGGGTCTGAATACTTAGGACCATGTGATATTTCAGTTTTTCTTTTTTAATAAATCTGCAAAAATGTCAACGATTCTGTGTTTTTCTGTCAATATGGGGTGCTGTGTGTACATTAATGAGGAAAAAAAATTAACTTAAATGATTTTAGCAAATGGCTGCAATATAACAAAGAGTGAAAAATTTAAGGGGGTCTGAATACTTTCCGTACCCACTGTATATATATATATATATTATCATATATAATTTTTTTTTATTATTTTATTATTTTTGTTTATAAACTGATAAATATGACTAACATTTATACAGTAAGTTACCAGAGGTCCATTAAGTGTGACTCCTTCTGTTGTGATTATATTCACAATATAGAACAGCCTCTCTTAACTTTTATAAATGTTTGCTACAAAATAAGCATATATTAAGGACACTTACACTCATTAAAGTTTTCTTTTATTGTTCTAGTTCATTAGGTGTCATCCTTTCACTAGCTCTAGTCATCTAAATGAAGGTTATAGTTAGTCTCTGTGGGTGTTGTGCCATGACATACGTCATAGCTGGTGAACAGCTGATACTATGTAATATTAATAAACATCTAGGAGTCTCCATTTAATAATAACCAGCAGGACCTGTGCAATTTGAGGTCCTTACGCGGATTGGGAAAATGGCTCCAGTTGTCCTGTAGGCATTGACTGAAGTGTTTAAAGAATAATGCTGCACTAATGGACTGAATGTGTTAATGGTGTGTGATAATAACAGCTGTAACGGTGCACTGAGACCCAGCTGATGCTCGGCTCCTGATTCATCGGGTTCATAGAGATGCCAGTCACCTCCCGGACCCCTCATGCTGCTGTTTGTGCACTTGCAAAGTTGAACTGTGTGTGTTTTCGGCATGCTGCCTTCATCAGAACTGTGCAGTCATGTGAATGAGTGACTGTGTGAACAGCAGTTTCTTGTGCTGTTTACAGTGATTTCCTGGCTAGGAGTGGGCGGGATGACAAAATCCTGCCACCATGTTAACATGTTAACAAGTTCTTTTTGCTGAAAATGTAACCAAATAATTTGTTTTATAAAACTGTTTAATCTTGTGTAATATCTTACATTTTTAAATCTTAAAAAAAATCTTAAATTCTTGACCTTTTTATTTAAAATTTAATGGAATCAATCCAGAAACCAAGATTATTCATAACAAATGTCAGAGTTAGGCCTGTCATGATAACATCTTTTTGTTGTGCGATATATTGCCCCAGAAATAATTGCAATAAGCAATATTATTGCCATTTTAAAGACCATTTTATGCCACTGAATATAAAATCATAATGTAACAGCATAATAATGCAAGAAGGCCTACACACTTCCAAATGACAACAAACTTTTTAAGAATATTTAGATCATGGAAATTAAGTATCAAAATATTAGATACCTT